AGTTTTTTTTAATCCTGTTTTATTTATTTTTATTTTAAAAATTTAGATATTAGGATTGTACTTTTGAATTTCCTTGATTAATTTCTCGAAGTTTTTTGAACCACTCTATGATACATCGTTGATATTAACGCTAAATTATCGCTATTATAAAAAAAAAATATAAATATTTTTAAAATACCAGTTTATAATTAAAGTGTTCAATATAATGCACTCATTTCACGCAATAGAATCTTAAACTAATAAAGAAAGACCTCTAACAAAAATAAAAAAAAAAAAACATTACAACAAAGTTTAAAAATTATTTATTAAATTCTAGAAAATTCTAAAACACAACTCACTAGTGAAAATATTGAAAATATTAAATAATCGCTGACTTACCGGAGTATGATTGTATAAAACTGGATTTTAATCAAACGAGATGATTTAATTTCAAATCAAGTTTTTCAATCAATCCACTCCACTTTTACTCATTTTGATAAAAATCATGAAAAGAAAATGCAATTAGTAATGAGATTAAATGAAAGTAAATGCAATTAGCAATACACAGTAAATGCAATTAATAATGAAATTAAATGCATTTCTTATGCTATTTTTTTTATTTTTAATATAAAAATTTGAGTATAAATCTAGCCATTCGGATTGTGCATCTGATTTTCCAAGATTTCCGCATCTTATATTTAGCGATAATAGCAGCGATATATCATATCTCCACTTTTATTTATTTTGATAAAAATCATGGAAAGTAAATGCAATTAAATGCAATTAGTAATGCAATTAAATGCAATCAGTAATTCAATTAAATTCATTCAGTAATTCAATTAAATGGAAGTAAATGCAATCAGTAATTCAATTAAATTCATTCAGTAATTCAGTTAAATGGAAGTAAATGCAATCAGTAATTCAATTAAATTCATTCAGTAATTCAGTTAAATGGAAGTAAATGCAATCAGTGATTCAATTAAATGAAAGCAAGTGCAATTAGTACTAAACAGTAAATGCAATTAAATGAAAGTAAATACAATTAATAACGAAATTAAATGAAAGTAAATGCAATTAGTTTTTTTATGCTGTTTTATTTATTTTTATTATAAAAATTTGAGTATAAATTCAACCATTCGGATTGCACATTCTGATTTTCTGATTCATCGTCAAAAGATTTTGGGATCTTATGAGACATCGCTGCTATTATCGCTAAAAATATCTCCACTTTTTTACTCATTTTGAAAAAAAAATATGGAAAGTAAATGCAATTAGTAATCAACAATAAAAAATGTGTTTGCGTCAATCTTTCCCATTGGGTATTGGAGGTCATGTCAATGTCAAATATCAGTAAAACATGAAATAGCGGTAGTATAACTGCCTCCAACAATATTCGAATTAATAAACTCGTGCTTCATAATAAGTAGTGCAAAATAATCGCTTTAGCAAAGAATAAAAAATTAATTTTTGCTGAAGTTAATTCGGAAAAAAATGCAAATATGAGATAATAATAAATAATATATGAGTAAGTGTTCTTAAAAAATATACAGATATGAGATAAGAATATAACCCGTTAAAGGTTTAATACCAAAAATTTTGAAAATAGGCCACAGATTTACCTACCCAAAAAGTCATTAATGTAATAGATTAATGTTCATATTTAAAAAAAAAATATATCTGCTGTGGTTAGTAGCAAAATTAGTATTTAGAATCCTAGTGGATACGATTTCCACTTGCTGCATTTGGGTAAATAGGATGTTGAGCCAGACAGGACAATACTGTTGAAATAATGCAAGGTTTGTTGTTTCTTATCCCACTTGGTAGACTGTACTATCTAGACCAAGTTCATGAACCCATACTCACTGAAGGAAAGAAAGATAAAAGGGGCAGCTTCTGTTGTGATGGATCACCCGTAAATAGAAGACTGACATGACTCCGTGACGGGGTAGGGTTGACAACCCCATCCAACGCTCTGCAGTCATATTAGACCAGGACCTATGTCGTAAAGTGGATTCCAAACCATTACACCCATCCATGGCCCCGCCGGGACTCGAGCCGGAAGCTTGTGGCACCTTCGTTGGGTTGGCCGTGGTTTGGTTTGTCGCTCTACAATAATTTTTTGCACACTTTAGACTAATTAAACCGGGTTTTACAGTTTTACGTGGATTCCGAACCATTAACAATCATCCATGCTACCGTCAAGATTCAAACCTGAAGCCTGTGGTACCATTGGCCACCAAGCCACTGAAATAATGCAAGAAAAAAACCCAACAAATTTATAGCTTTAATTAAATACTGATGAAAAATGGAAAGATTATTTTCCAAAGTGATACAACTTACCTAAGTGGCTTGTAAAATATTTGTTAAAAATTCTCAAATATGAACTTGGTTTATAACATGTCAGAAAAGAACATATAATTAATATTATTACTTTAACTGTCACCATACTACAAGAAAATGGCTGGATATTGTAAGAGTGTACTCTAGCATCTCTTAATAACAAACCGACTGCTAACCTTGAGAAATCTAATGGCTGGCATTAACCTTATCTTTCTATACGCGCCAGTGAGTACTCGTAGTATGTCATGTAGAACACAAAATTTTTAATGTAGAAAAAAATATTATCAAATTAATCAATGGTTTGAACAAATAAAATCTTTGTTAATCGAAAAAAAAAAGTAATAATGAATGGTGCAATTTTTTTTCTTCTTTTATTTAAATGCCAAACACTTCATTTCCTGTCATTTATTGCTAAGATGGGAATAATTCGGTATATTTATCATTACAAATATAATCCACAAACAATCACAATTAAAATTCATAAGTGGAAAGTTATTAAAAAACGCATTCTAAAGGGAATTTAAGAATTTGATCCTATAATCCCAAACAAATCTCACAAGAAATCGCCTCTATAGTTAATCCAACGAAGGTGGAGCTATTGTTGAAGTAGTTAGTTGCCAATGGTTTATTTTTACAAGCAAGATCGATTCAGTAAACACTACCTCCGAAGTCACAACAACCCAAATCTTGTCGGCATTTGAATCGCCATTAAAATAAAGTTGCTTAATTTAAAAATTTTATTTTTAACAAATATTTCAAACTTAACAATTAACCTAAAGTAAAATTTAGGATTCCATGAAATAAACTACAAAAGTAGAAAATTTATTCTATCAATATACTAGTATAGTGTTAAGCATGATATGCAGTAACTACACTATTTTGCAGATGGATGAATGAAAAATAAGTATAACTATTTCACTCCAGGGTCTGAATGGCCGAGTGGCTAGCGCTCTGGCGCTCGGTACCACAGGTTTCGGGTTCGAGTCCCGGCGGTGCCATAGATGTTTGTAGTGGTTCGGAATCCACTTTAAGCCGTATGTCCCGGTCCTAATAGGATCGTAGAGCGTTGCGGGGGCATTGTTACTCAGCTTCCGTATCTTCAAGTTACACGCGCCCCCTGGGTAATGCAAAGTGAGTAACGTCTGTGCATCGCTTGCCTTAAAGCATCCAAGACCAAGCTGTCTAAGTGTTTGCCAGCTGCATTGGAACAAAAAACTATTTCACTCCAATCAATCTCAATATTTATTGTGATTGGATTTTATGATAATCGTGACCTATAAGAATTTCCAATCGTTTTTAATATTCTCCATAGCTATTCATAGTTTGGATTTAACGTTATTTATACTGTGTTTATAAAAAAGACACTATTAATAAGTCAATTTCATTACAGCAATGAATCGATGAAAATCAATCAACATAAAAGAATTTTAAAGCGTATGATTTTCCACACTGAGAAATAGGGTTTACATATCTCGTAAAGATTTGGTTTGCTGCTCTACGTTATTTTGGGCACATTTTAGGCTATTTAGACTGGGGCCTACAGTTTAACGTGAATTCCGAACCATTCACAAACATCCATGATTCGAACTTGAAAACCTGTGCGCAAAGACCAGAGCGCTAACTAATTAGCCATCAGGCCGCATTTCGAAAAGGAATTTCTTGTTCTTATTAAATCTCGCATTTTGAATTTAGGTATTTTTTGTTCTTCGCATCGTCTACACAACGACATTAGTATCATCATCATTGGCGGAACAGCCCATTGTGGGCTAAGGCCGTCTACCCACTGGTAGATTTCGTGACGAAAGATGTTTTTCTTTTTACGGGGTAGGTTTTCAGCTCTACGCCCAACGCTCAACAGACACAAGAGACCGGAATCTACAGCTCAAAGTGGATTCCGAATCCTGACAAACATCTATGGCACCGCCGGACTCCGAACCCGAAACCTGTGTACCGAGCGCCAGAGCGCCAGTCACTCGGTCATTCAGGCCCAGACATTGGTATAAGTTCCCTAAATTTTGAATTTCTATAGTCAATTTTTAAAACGTGTTAAAACCCACATAGTTTTAATCACATTTGAATTGAAATTTCTGTCCTTTTAAATTATATCGTAATTTTCAAACAAATTTATAAATGCCATATATATGCATGTATATATTGCTTATAATATTAATAAGAAAAATTTTAAATAAAGCAAATAATTCAAAATCAAAATCTTTTTAATGAAATGACGCAAACAATTAAAAGGAAAACATTCTAATATTTAGTAGAAAATGTCAACCGAAATAATGCATATCCATTATAGATATCTCTAGAAACCTTGTCATTAAATTTTACTGTTTTAAAAACCATTGAAATATTTCATCACAAAAGAAGTGTTGTGTTGTTGTTTCTTATCCCACTTGGTTGGTCAAGCCCACGAGCCCATACGTACTGAAGGGGAAGGAAGCAGCTTCTGTTGTAAAGGAGCACCCCCGTAGGTAGAAGTCTGACTTTGGCTCCGCGACGCTCTTACAGCCATGGGAGACCGGGACCTATGGCTTAAAGTGGATTCCGAACCACTACACAAACATCCATGGCACCGCCGGGACTCGAACCCGAAACCTGTTGCACCGAGCGCCAGAGCGCTAGGCACTCGGCCATTCAGGTCCCAAATTTGTGAATGCCAACGACACGTACCAAGTGCCCACCCAAGTACTGACCGCGCCCAATGATGCTTGACTTCGGTGATCTAACGAGAACCGGTATATTCAGCATGGTATGACCATTGGCTACAAAAGAAGTTCTGTTACAAAAGGCTTATTAAGAAACTTAAATTGATTTTAAATTATTTTAATTAGCAGAAATCTGGAAGGAAAACTTTCTACAATATTCGTACCATATGTTAAACAAATATATTATTTACGATGACAATGAACTAAGATGAACCCAATCTTTAAGATTACTATAGTGATATATTTCATTTACTATTTTCTGTTCTAGAAATAGCATGTTTCTTTTCCCTCCAGATGTTTCTAAGATTAGGCACATCTGTCTGAAGTAAATATTTATCCAGTTATTAATACAGATAAACAAACGAAGAAAAAAAAAAAGTTACCAATTTGTTTATGTCTAGATTTTTATTCTTTAAAATAAGTTCATATTCAAAAAAGAAGAGCAGAATATTTGAATACATTTCTATGCAAATCAACTTTTTTTAAATGTACATTTAATGTTAATAATATAAATAATCAGATATTAAGATGCTCAGTTTCCTATGAGCATGCGCGGTAGGGAGAAAAAGCTAACGGACGTCCTACGGTAACTAACGTACGGTATGCAAAAACTCTCTAATAAGATTAATATCTGATTATTTATATTATTAACATTAAATGTACATTTAAACTCAAACATTTTTGTTTGTTCAAACATTTGTACATTATTACAGCAAAAACTCTCTATTATTTATGTGCAGGTCTTAAATAATATTTATAATATTAAATAACTGAATTAATAATAAAAATCACTAATTATTCAATTTTACGATTTTTTTTCACATGAAAGATAAATAATTATGAAAAAAAGGGTGAATATTTTTAAAAATATGTAAAATAAGATGTTATTCTTCTGAATATAAACAATAAGCTGTCAATCTTATTATTTATATACAGGTATGAAATTTTAAATAGCTGATTTGATAGTAAAAATCACTAATTATTCAATTTTACGATTTTGTTTCCACTTGAAATAAAAACAATCGTTAAATAATTATGAAAAAAAAGGTGAATATTTTTAAAAATATGTAAAATAAGATGTCAATCTTCTGCATATGAATACTAAAATGTTAATCTTATTATTTATATGCTGGTACTAAATTTTAAATGATTGATTTGATAATAAAAATCACTACTTATTCAATTATACGATTTAGTTGAAATAAAAAAATTCTTTGAATAATCATGAAAAAAGTTTGAATATTTAAAAAAATTATGTAAATGTAAGATATCTTCTAATTTGAATGTTTTTAATGCAGATTCATTAAATAATTTATGTTTATATGTCTGATTGGCGATACATTGCAAGTATACAGAAAGTTTATATTTTCTGTTGTTAAAATTTTATTCATTAATTTTATTTATCCTCAAATTTATTATTTATTATTTTATCAAACAGATCTTCAATGTGGATGGTTTTAATAAACACAAGGAATATGAGTTTAGTATTTAAAAAAAAAACAATCTAGAACACATTTCTATTAAATTATTGAGAAGAACATACGATATATATAAAAACTATTTTGATTAAAAACATAACTAAATTTTTAAAAAGTGAGCCTGTATAACAAATAACAATTAAAGAAATTATTTTTGAAAATTCTTATAGTACATAAATAGTTTGTTGAAAATATTTATTGTTCTAACACAATTCTTTAAGACTAATAGATATCATAAGAATAATTAATTGCATGGCATTATGAATACTTTACTTCTGGTTAAATAGTCACGATTTAAAAATATTAAAAAAAAGAAATTTTAATAAAAGTTTTAAAATAGTTAAAAATACTTTTTAATATTTTAATTACTCAAATTACAAAAATTAAATTTATAAACAATTAAAGCATTGTATTAAAATAAATAATTGAGGGAAATAATTAAAAAATTAAATATGGAAACTATTAGTAATATTGTGCTATAGAAAAATATTTAAAAACTTTTTTACTAAAATTTTTTTAAATATATAAAAAATATTAAAATTTTTTTAAAAAAATACTTCTTAATATTTTAATTATTTAAGTTACAAAAATTAAATACATAAAAAATTAAATCATTGTCTTACAGTTAATAATATAAGAAAATAATGTAAAAACTAAATATAGAAAATATTACTAATATTATGCTATAAAAAAAATAAATTTAAAAAAAATATAGAATTTTTTTTTTTTTTAATATTTTAATTATTTAAGTTATAAAAATTAAATATATAAAAAAATGAATCATTATCTTACAATTAATAATTTAAGAAAATAATTAAAAAATTAAATATGGAAAGTGTTAGTAATACTTTGCTACAGAAAAACATATTATACAATTTAAAATAAAAAAAAAGTAATTTAAAAATTATTACAATTTTAAATAAAAAAGAAGTAATTTTGAAAAAAAAAAAAAAAAAACAATACCGTCATTCGGTCTGTAGTAATGAATTTCAACCTTGTTATTTAAAAAAATTTTTTATCAGAAATTGCTTTGTAAATTACATAATAAATTAATTTCTGTTAAAAAAAAATAGTTGAATAAAAAATAAAAACAAATTTACCAAAATATGAAACTATTCAACTTCCAAACCTTACATCTTCCAAAAATTATTTAAAATACCCCATATTTATAGAATTTCCATATTTTGTTCTATCAATATACGACACGTGGGGGAAAAATTTTTTGATAAGAGGTATTACGCAAAAAAAACTGAAACTATTGATTAGCGTTTTGCAACTTTATTATCTAATTTTGTATAAAGAAGCAACCTTGAAACCATAGCAATGATACAAACACAGTAACATCAGTAAAAAATGTTTACGTATATATATCGTACTAAACGTCATGCTTGTAATAGTTTTAGTACTGAGATCAAAAATGCACATTTTTTTTCGGAAGGGGAAAGGGGAGGGAGGGCGGGTGTTGAAGCGATGAGTGCAAAAGATAATTAATACAAAAATTTTTAATTTGAGGAATAAAGGTGCTAGGTTTTTTTATTAATATTCTGAACAGTAAGTAATAATTAAGACCAGATGTCCGAGTGACTGGCTTTCGGCTCTTTTCGAGTCACGACTGGTGTCCATGGATATTTGTAGTGGTTCAAAATCCACTTTACACCGCAGGTCCCAGTCTAATATAATTGTAAAGCGTTGGGCGTTCGCTGTAGGGCTGACAACACTATTCTGTAAAAGAAATCATGTTTCGGAATTTGGAGTCCTTCGTCCCACCATGAGGCTATTGCGCCATTGAAGAAGAAATATTAAGTAAAATTTATTTTGTTAACATATTAAGTATATGAAAAGGAACTAAACAATTTAAATTGACAAAAGTATACTAAATAATTTGTAAACATATATATTGATAGTATAATTACATGAGAAAATGAATAGCAGCTTTAAACTCTACCGTTATATTTTAACAGATAAAACAAAAAATTAAAATGAAAATTGTCTTTTAAATTTTTGAACAATAAATAAAAGTTTTATTTGAGATGACATATGCAGATTACATCGCATTTTTAGTAAAAAAAAAATTAGTCTGAAAAGCTCCATAGAAAATTTAGAATTCTTTTATAATTATTAATATTATTATTTTGTTCTAATGCAGATGGCAAGCATAGACAGTTGTCTTTGATGCCTTAGGGCAAGCGCTGCACTGACGTTACTCACTTTGCACTACCCAGGAGGTGCATGTAGCTTGAAGATAAGCTACACGCAGGAGTAATAATACCAATACCAATAACATAAAAACATACTATACCAATAATACGCAGGAGTAACAATACCCCCGTAATGCTCTACGATCATGTTAGACCGGGATCTACAGTTTAAAGTGGATTCAAAACTCCTACAAACATCCATGGCAGTGGACTCAAACCCGAAACCTGTGGTACCAAGCGCCAGAGCGCCTAGCCACCCGGACCATTCAGGCCCATTATTATTATTATTATAACATATATATATATATAACATATATAATAACATATATAATAACATATATATATATATATATATATATATATATAAAATCGGCTCTGCCGTTATACAGGTTACCCATAAAATTTAATATTGAAAATAAGACAAAAAAGCATTCAAAACAAAACAGCATTCAAATAAAAAACTATAGAAATTTTCCTTTATATGAAATAGAACAGACAAAGTGATATCAGGTTTTTTTCCTTTTTCTTTTAATTTTCTTGTTTTCTTATCAATTATTTAATTTATCGATAAGTGTGTTCACCTGTTCAAATAAAAATAGATGATTTGAATATCAGTAGTTTTTGTGCTTTAAAAAAACCCTAAACATACTATTTTAAACTGTAGATCTTTATATAAAAATAACTCGGGTAATCAGCATATTTAAATATGCACGTGTATTTATTTTGTCCATGAAATTATGAGTATTGTTAACGAATTTATAATTTATTTTAAGATATTTATTACGATATTATCTTCTTGAAAAATTTCACTTTCACTTCGAAATAAGATTAAGAAGATCCAGAAGACGATTAAGACGATTTTACATTATTTAATTATATAACGCACGTGAAGGAAATTTAAATAATATGTATAAAAAGACTCGTGAAAAATATTTAACTAAGCCAATAAGAATAGTTAGTGAAATAAATTTAAACAAACCACTAAGGAACAATGTCAGTTGTTAAGGAAAGAAAACACTGATCAGACACAAAAAAAGTGATCAAGGAAACCAAAAACCCTAAACCACCCATAATTTATAGTTAAAAAATACATGTGTATATTTAAATATGTTCATTATTTTATTTTATCATTAGTTATTTTTTTTCATAAAGATACGCAGTTTAAAACCGTTTGTTTTGGGTTTTTTTAAAGCATCACGCTACTGATATTCAAATCATTCTTTTTTTTTCTTTATTTGAACAGGTGTGTCACCTTATCGATGAATTAAATGACTGATAAGAAGACAAGAAAATTAAAAGAAAATGAAAAAAAAAACAAACTGATATCACTTTTGCTTTATTTTGTATAAAGGGATATTTTAATATTAACAATGTTGAA